TGACCAGCCTGTCAGTGTGTTAGTATATAGTACCGCAGATAGCTTGTGTACAGAAATATGGATCTTGACGCATATGTGACGTGATAGAGAAGCTACCATCTCATTTTAGAGGGTATTGTGTGCTCTCATGCTCGGCATTGCTTAAAAAGGACAGGGTCCTCTTTTGTTGTTCGGTTATTTTGATCGTAGTGGTTATTCTGTTTTACTGAAATTTTTTATAAGACGACGCGCCGTGCGGTCCTTCTAGGTATCAGTAACGACCGGTGGATCGGTGTGTCTGGAATTGTTGTAACTTTTGAAGGCCGGCATCTGCTACAATGCTCTCGATAAGCCAAGGGCTTCGTTTTTGAGACTCATTGTGTTTTTGTTTTTTATTTTATTTGAAAAATTCATTTTTATTTGAAGGCTTCGCATTGTTTTTTCGAAGAGATGCACGCTTTTTTTTTACTGCACTTTATGCCAATAATAGAGATGGGTTTTCTTTTTGGAGAGTTTGTAGGTTGCAGGGATTGGCACGCGGCAAATCTAATTGCTTTTTCGTTCTACCAAGTGTCGCAATACAGTATTTGTATTTTATTTTTTTTTTATTGAATATCACTTCCACCGGGGTTGTTTTCGAAAAGCGTTTTCATCTGCAGAAGGCTTTTTGTGCTCTTCCAGCAGTTCATCTTTCTCCCGACCCCGAACCCCCACACACCCAAACCCCCCCCCACCCCCCCCCACCACCCTCCCCCCACCCCCCCCCCCCCCCCCCCCCCCCCACCCGCCCCCCCCCCCTCCCACCCACACCCACCCCCCCCCCCCACACCCCACCCACCCCCCCCCCACCAACCCCCCCCCCCCCCTCCCCCCCCCACCACCCCCCCACCCCCCCACATCCCGCCCTACCCACCCCCCCCCCCCCCCCCACCCCCCCCCCTCATCCGCCGCCTCACCCACCCCCCCCCCCACCCCAGCCCCCTCCCCCACCCACCCCCCCCACGCCCCACCCCCCCACCCACCCCCCCCCACCCCCACCCCACCCCCCCCCCCCCCTCCCCCCCCCCCCCCACCCCCCCCACCCCCCCCCCCTCCCACCCCTCCCCCCCGCCCCCATCCCCCCCACCCCCCCACCACCCCCCCTCCCACCCCCCCCCGCCCCCCCCCCACCCCCCACCCCCCCCCACCACCCACACCCCCCCCCCCCCCCCCCCCACCCCACCCCCCCCCCCACCCCCTCCCCCCCACCCCCCGCCCCCCCACCCCCCCCCCCCACCCCCCCCCCCCACCCCCCCCCCCCCCCCCCCCCCCCCCCCCCCCCCCCCCCCCCCCCCCCCCCCCCCCCCCCCCCCCCCCCCCCCCCCCCCCCCCCCCCCCCCCCCCCCCCCCCCCCCCCCCCCCCCCCCCCCCCCCCCCCCCCCCCCCCCCCCCCCCCCCCCCCCCCCCCCCCCCCCCCCCCCCCCCCCCCCCCCCCCCCCCCCCCCCCCCCCCCCCCCCCCCCCCCCCCCCCCCCCCCCCCCCCCCCCCCCCCCCCCCCCCCCCCCCCCCCCCCCCCCCCCCCCCCCCCCCCCCCCCCCCCCCCCCCCCCCCCCCCCCCCCCCCCCCCCCCCCCCCCCCCCCCCCCCCCCCCCCCCCCCCCCCCCCCCCCCCCCCCCCCCCCCCCCCCCCCCCCCCCCCCCCCCCCCCCCCCCCCCCCCCCCCCCCCCCCCCCCCCCCCCCCCCCCCCCCCCCCCCCCCCCCCCCCCCCCCCCCCCCCCCCCCCCCCCCCCCCCCCCCCCCCCCCCCCCCCCCCCCCCCCCCCCCCCCCCCCCCCCCCCCCCCCCCCCCCCCCCCCCCCCCCCCCCCCCCCCCCCCCCCCCCCCCCCCCCCCCCCCCCCCCCCCCCCCCCCCCCCCCCCCCCCCCCCCCCCCCCCCCCCCCCCCCCCCCCCCCCCCCCCCCCCCCCCCCCCTCCACAGAATGTCCCACACCATTGTAGTGGTTGTGTCTCTCGTTTTTCTTCTTTTCTCTCTTTATGCCTCGTGTTTTAAGGGTTCAGTTTGAGGCACGTTTCATCAGTCTATGTAGGTTAGAGCTGCGTATTAGTTCTTATGCCTGTCATCTAGTTTTGTTCCGCTCAGCCGAGCCGAGCTTGAGCATGATGTTACAGAAGAGTTTTAACGAGAATGGTAGTAAGTAAAGATATATAATTAAATTACATTTAATTAGAGTTAAAAAGATTTTGACAGTCAAAGTTGATAAGTAAGTTTTATATTTTTATAAGGTAATAGTATAGATATAAAGTTAGATTTTAAAGGATTAGTTTTGTATAAAAAGGGTTTTGATTATAAAATGAGTCGTTAATGATGTTTAAAAAACTATAATGAGTTTATATTAAGTGCTTGCTATTGCAGATGTTTATTATATAATTTAGTAGAAGTTTTACTCCGCATGATGTTTATGAGTTTTTTTGTTTAATCCTGAATTGACAGCCATATGATAAATATATAAGTGATTATAGTATTACCCCATAGTTAAGAAGATTTAGATTATCAAGCAAGTTGATAATGTTTAAGTGATGTGTGTGAGATAAAAAAAGGGTTATATTAGTAAATTTATCGATTCTTTAACAAAAGAATTTAAAAAGAGTAAGGTTAGCTTTAAATGTAAAGAATTAAATAGAATGTAAGATAACAGTAATTTATATTAGATAAATAAAATTTAATGTTTAAGTTTTAAAGTTAGATTTAAGTAATTAATTAAGTGTATAAGAAAAGTTGTTTTATAGTTTTATAAGTGTAAATTTAGATTATTTTTAAATTATGTAATTGAATAAGTTAATAAGTATAATAAATGTCTTAAAATAGGTTAGTTTAAATAAAAGGGGTTTGATGTTAACTAGAATGATGTAGTTATCTTTTAGCTAAAAAAGTGATTATTTTATTATTTTTAGATTGTATTAGTGTTATGTAAATAGAAATTGAAAAGTAGAGTATATATAATAAGTGTAGTAAAAAAAATAAGAATACTTAACAAAAAATGTGAAAAAAAAAAAATATAAAATAAAAATAAATAAATATAATAAAAAAACCTATAAAAATAAATTATTTTGATAGTAGATATAAAAAGGAGTTATAAAATAAGTAAATGTCAAAGTATTAGTTAAAAAGAAAACATAGTTTAATTTTTATATCAATAGTTTATTAAGTAGTTAAAAGACAAAGTAAAAAGATAGTTTATAAAATTAATAATAAATGGGGTTGGGGTTATGTTTTATTTAGTGTATAGCCCCTGCAGGTATTAGCCGCCCAAAGGTTAGAAAGGTATTAGAAGTTAGTTAGGTGCCCTGAGGTTTTTATAGTGATTTGTTTATTTACACCCAGTATTCATACGAGTTCAGTTTTATCTTACCGGTTCTTTATGTACGGTAAGTATGTTTTGGAAGTATTTTTAAAAAGGGTGTAACTTGAAATATAAAAAATATAAGTAACTAAAAAAATATTAGTTAGAATCACTTAGGAAAATCTTAATATCTAAAAAAATGGAGTTCGAAGAAGTGACCATTTGACCGATTTATTTCTTTTCATATTGGTTACTTTCACGTGTTGTGTTTAATTGTGTACGTCACCGCTTGTTTTTTGTATCACCTCTAATTCCTATTTGAGTTTTATCTTTTTGTTTTTAGTTGTATGGAGGTTTTGAGGTTGATGAGGTTTTAGTTTAATACCGGAGTTAGTTGTAAATTAGTTTGTGTGATGTGTTATAAGTGGGTTTTAGCAGTTGTTATGTGTTGTTTTATTTATTTGGTTTTTATATCCGCCCAGTTACGAACTCCTGACTACGTAAGTATCACACATGTAAGAGTAAGTTTGCAGTAAAGTAGTAAAAGTACGTTTTTTTTTTTATTGTTTATTTTTATACCCCAGTACTTGGCTTGTTATTCGGACAGTACAAGACTATGTATAGACGGATTGATGAGTTGCAGTTTAAGAGTTATTAAAGACAGTGGTAGCTAAGTATTGTCTACGATGTTTTTCTTTCTGTTTAGTTTTTATTTTGTTTTTTTTTTATGTTATATATATTTATTCGTTCTTGTCTTCTTACGTGTTTTTTGGGGTATTTTGTAGCCCTAAAAAAAAACTTTAATAATAACAAACCATATAAAAAATAGCTAAAAATGGTGAATATATATATAGCTTTAAATTTTTTAGTTGATATTAGTGGAGTTTGTTTATTCTTTTTTTTTTTAGAAGGATTGTGGGGGGTATATGTGGTTTGATTGATGATGACCGATGGCCCAGGTAACTCGGAGCTTGATATTTGCAGTATATTAATTGAAGCATTGATATTTTTTACCTATTCCCCCAGTATGCCTACGAGTTAGTTACGCACGAGCTGTTAGTGTCGACGCTGCCGGGACTGTACACTTGAATAATTCATAGACTATTTTTTTGTTTTTTTATTTATAGTTTTTTTTCGTTTTAGTACCATTGACCCCAGTTTACGAGTACACATGTAGTGATTAGTAGAGATGTTAGACACTCCAGCAGTAGTCACGTGTACGAAGGATGCTAGAGTTGAGCTCTAGTAGTATTGATAGAGAGAAGTACGTTTAGTGATGTAGTATAGTCTATAGTAGTGCTATACTAGTACTTTACAGTCAAAGGTAATGTACGACTCAGTAGAGTGATGAAGTTTGACGTGCTTACTATACGCGACGAGGTTAGTAAAGAGTACTGTAGCTATTACTAGTAGTACACCTTACCGAGAGCCCAGTAGACGTCAGTACGACAGTGTACGACTTAACTAGCAAGTTACGTGTGACTGTAGCTGCCAAGTGTGTGACTTATGTACACGATAAGCGAACAGCAGCTGTGGTCGTGGGGATACTACGGCTGTTGTGTGTTGTGCGTACATATTATGGAACAAATTGTTTCGATTATTTTATAGTGTGGTGATTTACACCAGTTAAGCAGTTACTAGGGAGGTGTAGTTGAACAGAGAGTAAAGTAAGTACTAGTCAGTAAAGTACTAAGAGTTTTTTAGTAGATAGTGGTTCAGCCCAGTGAGAGTTACGATCAGTAATGTCTAAAAAGTACGTAATACAATAATGTTAAGTATTGATGTGATAAGTAATTAATATGCTAACACTATCCATGATCCTCCGCTATGTGACGCTATATACCAGTGACATTGAGTACACTTAGTACGGAGAGTTAACAGTAAGTGTGACTAATCTGATATAGTGTAGTAGTAGCATCAAATAGTACTTGAATAGTTCGTGGATGATGCTATATTATGTTGAGGTACAAATGCGCCTCCCTACGATCTACTCGCTATCTTACTGGCCCCTCATGATTCTCGCTTGAAGCTCGGTGTCTGAAGGGCTATCACTTGCACACCTTGCTTCTCTATTCTTGTATATATTAGTCTGATTCTGGTGTCGGAGGTCTTCGCTCGGTAAGCTGGGATCGTGCAGTAGCGGTGCGGCTGCTGTTGAATAATTCAGTTTTTGATTTCTCTCGCCGTAGTCGTGATTCGTCTTTCTGAAATTTATGATTTTGCGTTCGTCGCGTGAAAGTCTTCGAACGTGCTTCGTTATTTATTTACATGCATCCTCAATCTACTACTCACTATTGATTGAGTGTTCATTGTTCTCTCGTCTAGTAGTGTATGTATGTACCCATCAGTGTTCTTCGTAGTAGCTATTGCAATGTGTGCCATTATGTGATCCATAGCTAATCTCGGCATCTTGCATTTTTATTTGCCTCATTCGCATGTGATATATTTTGGGATGCGTTTCATGATAATGGGCCTATTTTTGATACTTTATTTGTTTTTTCAGGTCTGACCCTAGACAATAAGAGATATGGCCGAATTTAATGGTATAAGGAACGACGAAAAGCGAGCATAAACCATTAGGAAGGTGCGAACGGCCTATTGAGTCCCGCATATACCATGCAGCTCATATCGCTTAATAAACAGTTTGCCTGACTATCTTCCATTCGGTATGCTGGATTCGCTTAGTAACGCACCATACCTGCAGACACCTATTACTCTGCTGTTGTCTTGTCTCTTTTTCTCGGCGTCTGTCTGAGATATGGAGGCTTACTAGACGCGTTGGTGGGAGGGAAGTATTAATGGCAGGAAAGTAGTTGAGTCAGAGTTAGTTTTAGGTTGTATGGTAAAGTAGTTAGTGATAGGTTAAAGTTGATAGTAGTTACGGGTTTAACGATACAAACACGATACTGATGCACAATATTACGCCGAACCTACAATCTGTCACATGCCGAGTACTTAGGTGAGGCTGGTGGGATACACGACTGTGAACGTGTAAGCAGAGGAACGCAGAGAATGTAGCAGATTACGCTCTGTCATAGTTTTAAATGGGCCACCCAGAGTGATGTATAGTAGGTTTGAATGTTATAGTGTTTGTGTAGCTATGATGGCGAAAGACGCGTGTATTATGCGGAAGGTATGAAGAAGTTCTTTGGTTGTTAAGGTACACGATTACCCTATCACTGCGCGTCTGTGCCTCCCCACACTCAGTATCTCCGGGGCTTTACTCTGGTCAGTCCTGTCAGTATCGTTCGTATAGTTTTCTCTGCTGAAGTATGCTGTTATAAGCAAATGACCACTCGACCCATACACTGGCTGTCTTCTGCGACGGGTAGGAGAATCAGGACTCCGAGTTATATCGCTCCGCAGCAGAGCATGAGCCATCAGTTAAAAGGATCAGTTTCACCAAAGCCAGTAGGACAACCTAAGACTCTCATACCTCGCCTCCATTTTTTTTGCCTGCCACAATGGGACGTATCAAGTCTAAATCTGTGGCGCTCGATTATATGCGTTCACGAAGACACTATGTGGATATCTACTCAGGCTGACGTCTGAATGCTGTCAATACACGCAACTATTGCTCTCGTATATTAGTCCCGGCTCAGGGATGGTGCAGTTCTATAGCATGCCTCCGCGCGCGAGGGAGAATAACACC